ACATTCTAAGATTTGCTGCCATACAGCAGAACAGGTTCTAAGTTTATTTATTATAGAGCATCGATACTCAAAATTTGTTACCTTTTTTTTCTCTCCATCATTTATTGCTATTTTTCAGTGGCAAGCAGTTTTGTGTGTGGACATTATTTTTGTTTTCTTAGATTCAGGAACGGGTTTTATCTTAACTGCATTATTTGGACGTATGTGATCAAATGTTCTACTCCCTGCACACACACTGTTCAAAAGGAGGGGAATGTTATCTACATAGTTATTTCTGCTGGTATTTTGTTGCAACCTGGTGACTTCCCTTCCTTTAGACTGTTGCTGATCATACCTCCTTCAGTAAAGGCTCTGGTTCTATTTTCTCCTTTCATAAGCTGTTTCTGAACTTCTTTTCAGATCCTCATATATATATATATTATATATATAAAAATCAATGTTTGTGTGTTTGTTTCACCCATATAGACTCGGAAACTACTGAACCGATTTAGCTGAAATTTTCAGGATATGTTTGTTGTGATACCGGATTTTGAACTGTCGTGGTTTGAAATTCAACCTGTCACTCTTAGAGATAGGTGACCACAATTTATGCCAAAATATACGCAACTAATATTTATAACTTTAGTGATTTCTAATTATAGCCACGTTAGTAATTGCGCATGCGCCGTATTTACCATTCGCCGGCGAGTTACGTTCAGCCAATGCCTTCTCTAATACTAATACATAGAGTAGGTCGTGGTACAGCAAACAAGACTATCTCTATATTTGCCACAATAACCATATTAAACACGATTTCTATTTTCTGTTTTTTTTTCAAACAACCTTCGATGGGGGGGGGGGGTAATCAAGGACTATCTCGACGTCGGCGCAGACAGTGACTGCGACATTAACTTCATTAACCGTGTTAGACACGTGCGATTTCTATTTCATTAATATATCTGGAGTATCTGTCTACGAGAAAACAATTGCCTGCGGTTTTGAATTGTGTTTTAATCGCGACACAGTAGTATGGACTCACATGTCTAATAGTTGAGTTCTCTTTTCGTTGTTCCGATTAAGTGGCTGCTTGGTCGAATGGTTAGAACACCGGGTTCATGTGCGGTACACCTGGGTTCGAATCCGCAGTCGTTAAATTTTTTTTGTTGCCCCGGACTAAAATAATATCCTCATCTGCTCTGCCGTGGTGACAGCACTAGCCATGTTGCCTTAATATTAAAAAAAAAAAAAAAAACAAGTAAATGGGTAAACCATTTGATAATTAAATTTGACCATTTCGCATACTTATGATTGCATTGTTAAACTTTCCGATTGCATGGTTACGCTGAAATTTTATAGATTTTCATTTATTTTCATTTAGATTTAGTTATTTCATCTGTGTTGGAATTTTAAGCTGTGCTGTTTACATTGGCGTTCATTTCCTAATTATGGTGTTTTTTTCCTGTGTTCGTTTGCTTTTCAAGTTTTTTTTTTCTCCCAACTACTTCAATGAGGGAAAGAGTTGTCGGTGAATTTGGGGGGAGGGGGGGGGGGCAAACTATTAACTGAGAGAGCTTTAAGTCACAGTAACTGCTTTACCCACTTAAAGTAGCAGCAGCAGTAATAGTTGTTACACCAGGGCTGTTACACCATAGTGCTCTCATGTGAAGACCGCCGGTAAGGTTATGGCGTTCTTCTGTCGGCAAGTGAAATTATACATCCTAACCTGACCAGTCTGTGGCGACAGCACTAGCCATGCGGAACCAAATCTTCTGGCTCACGACTCTCTGTCTACTCCGATGGTAACACAGATAGCAGTGACATTATTTTAGTAGTTGTACTGGTACTTGAAGGATGATGTAGTAAATATTACACTAGCCCTATTCACTACCTTTTACAATTCCTGCTCCCTATTTTAGTCCAGATGGACAGGGATGTCAATGTCAGTTACAACAACAACAAAATATCGCCAGTTAGTGATTTTCAAATCCTTCGAAGAGGGAGAGAGCAGTAGTCGGTGGAAGAGGGGAGGGGGTAATGACTTAAATTTAAGAGAAATTAAAGGCTTTACACTTGATTTTCAAGTTCTCATTGCCTAATTTGTTTATATTTTACTAACGCTACCTCCGCTTTTCTATTTTTTACGACTTGCTTTGTTATTCACAAGTACAGTTGTAGCTTTACTTCCGTCCCCTATAAAAATACAAACAGCTTTAGCATGTGATAACCAAATAACCATTTTTGTTACTGTGCTAATAACACCATTTAAACGACCACTAATATAAAAACACAATTATAAGGTGCGTGTTCTAAAGTTGGAAAACCAGACTATCGCTATATCCGTGCAGAAAATGATTGCGACATTAACTGTATTAGACACGTGCGATTTCCATTGTCTTTCTTTTCCAAAAACCTTTGATGAGGGAGATAGTAGTAGGTGGATTTAGTTGTAGTGGTGGGCGGGGATCAAAGACTATCTCTATATCTGAGCAGACAATGATTGTATTAGACACGTGCGTTTTCTATTTTCTTTCATTTCCATTTAGCCAAACTATGCCACAGCAACGCGTGGCCGGGTACAGCTAGTATTATATATATATCTACAGTAATCTTTCCATCTTTCTGTGTCTTTGCTTTCTTTTAAAGTGTAATAATTGTTACCTTTTGTTACTTGAAAAATGACCTGAATAAATGTTTAAATACTCTGGTTTAAAGGGGAAAAGGGGGGGGGGGGGGGGTGGGCGTAATGCCTTAGATGCCTATCCCTTCCAGGACATTACAGAACGAACCCCAGCATTAAGTAGTTTGTCATAGCCTTCTGAATGGTCAGCTGTCGGTACCACTGTCAAAACCAACGCATGACATTCAGCTGCCAAATCACCCGCAGCTGGGCTCTGACTTGGCATTATGGAGCGTGTTCGCAACTCTTAATCTACAGACACAGTACAATCATAGCAGTGCCTTATTGTAAAATAATAAAGAAATAATCACTGTTGTTGTTGCTCGAGTCTGTCATGTGGTGAAAAACTGCTTACCCTAGGCATCACTGTGTGGTCTGCCAGACATGTTGCAAGCCAGATGGAAAACATACTGATCTATAGAATGCTGTCAGTCTCCGTTTGCAACAGTTGTTTTTACCTCCACTTCTCTATACCTTCAAGAAAATTGTTGACGCATGAAACTATTGAATATTTTATGAAATGAAAATTATCAGTCAAACACCTTGAAATTTGAAAGCATGTTGAGTATGCAGAATGAGGATTTAGAATCATAGATTTCACCTACCCTTACTGTGCCTTTTAACCCTATTTTCAGGCTCTGCATAATGTTTGTGTGACCAATGACAGTAACCCAAATACTGTTCTGACTTTGCTCAAGAATACCTTGCAGAAGAAGTGTATACCTTTCAAGCAAAGCGAGTGAGTAGTTGTTCATAGCTACCAACCCTAAGTCACAGGGGCATGAGTTGAGTAATTGTTCCTAACAACCCTAGCTAGTCATTGTGGCATAGGTTGAGTAGTTGTCCTGTCACCCCTAGTTAGTCATTGGGGCATAGGTTGAGTAGTTGTTCCTATCAACCCTAGTTAGTCACTGGGGCATATGTTGAGTTCTTGTTCCTACCAACCCTAGTTAGTCATTGGGGCATAGGTTGAGTAGTTGTCCTGTCAACCCTAGTTAGTCATTGGGGCATATGTTGAGTAGTTGTTCTGTCAACCCTAGTTAGTCATTGGGGCATAGGTTGAGTAGTTGTTCTGTCACCCCTAGTTAGTCATTGGGGCATAGGTTGAGTAGTTGTTCCTATCAACCCTAGTTAGTCACTGGGGCATATGTTGAGTTCTTGTTCCTACCAACCCTAGTTAGTCACTGGGGCATAGGTTGAGAAGTTGTCCTGCCAACCCTAGTTAGTCACTGTGGCATAGGTTGAGAAGTTGTCCTGCCAACCCTAGTCACGGGGGCATAGGTTGAGTAGTTGTTCTGCCAACCCTAGTTAGTCATGGGGGCATAGGTTGAGTAGTTGTTCTGCCAACCCTAGTTAGTCACTGGGGCATATGTTGAGTTCTTGTTCCTACCAACCCTAGTTAGTCACTGGGGCATAGGTTGAGTAGTTGTCCTGCCACCCCTAGTTAGTCACTGGGGCATATGTTGAGTTCTTGTTCCTACCAACCCTAGTTAGTCACTGGGGCATATGTTGAGTTCTTGTTCCTACCAACCCTAGTTAGTCACTGTGGCATATGTTGAGTTCTTGTTCCTACCAACCCTAGTAAGTCACTGGGGCATATATTGAGTAGTTGTCCTGCCAACCCTAGTTAGTCTTCTTCTTCTTCTTCTCTTCCACCTTGTACTTCATCGAAGTGTCGGGGGGAGATGTAATGTTCGTTGATGGGCACTGTCAAGAGCACTATTAAGACTGATTTTCATTTCTGTAAGGCTGTTCTTAATGCCATCACTCCATATTTTCCGAGGTCTTCCACTTGCTCTATACCCGTTGTAACATATTAGTGTGGCTCGCTGTGGCGGATAGTACCAGGGCATTCTTGTTAGGTGTCCAAACCACTTCATTTGTTCTTTGATGACCTGTAAGACTGGCTTTATTCCTAGCATTCGTCTGATTTCATGATTTCGTATTCTGTCTTTCCTTGAAACTCCTGCAGCTCTTCTATGGCATTTCATCTCTGTTGTTACAATTTTACGTTCATTGGAGGATGTAAGTGCCCACGTTTGGCATTAATAGCATTGTGTTAGTCACTGGGGCATAGGTTGAGTTGTTTTCCTGCCAACCCTAGTAAGTCACTGGGGCATATGTGGAGTAGTTGTTCCTACCAACTCTAGTCAGTCACTGGGGCATATGTGGAGTAGTTGTTCCTACCAACTCTAGTCAGTCACTGGGGCATATGTGGAGTAGTTGTTCCTACCAACTCTAGTCAGTCACTGGGGCATATGTGGAGTAGTTGTTCCTACCAATTCTAGTCAGTCACTGGGGCATATGTGGAGTAGTTGTTCCTACCAACTCTAGTCAGTCACTGGGGCATAGGTGGAGTAGTTGTTCCTACCAACTCTAGTCAGTCACTGGGGCATAGGTGGAGTAGTTGTTCCTACCAACTCTAGTCAGTCACTGGGACATAGGTGGAGTAGTTGTTCCTACCAACTCTAGTCAGTCACTGGGGCATAGGTGGAGTAGTTGTTCCTACCAACTCTAGTCAGTCACTGGGGCATAGGTGGAGTAGTTGTTCCTACCAACTCTAGTCAGTCACTGAGGCATAGGTGGAGTAGTTGTTCCTACCAACTCTAGTCAGTCACTGGGGCATAGGTGGAGTAGTTGTTCCTACCAACTCTAGTCAGTCACTGGGGCATAGGTGGAGTAGTTGTTCCTACCAACTCTAGTCAGTCACTGTGGCATGAGGGGCACTTCCTTCCTAACAACCCTAGTTGAAATATGATTGGATTATTCCATTTTGTGTGTAACTGAAAGTGATCAGTCCAGGATGCTAGCCTAACTACATTACGTAGGAGTGAAGTCTGGCCAGTCTGTGGGGTCTAGAGAGCCTAACTATATTACATAGGAGTGAAGTCTGGCCAGTCTGTGAGGTATAGAGAACCAAACTATGTTACATGGGAGTGAAGTCTGGCCAGTCTGTGAGGTATAGAGAGCCAAACTATGTTACATGGGAGTGAAGTCTGGCCAGTCTGTGGGGTATAGAAAGCCTAACTATATTACATAGGAGTGAAGTCTGGCCAATCTGTGAGGTATAGAAAGCCTAACTACATTACATAGGAGTGAAGTCTAGCCAGTCTGTGAGGTATAGAAAGCCTAACTATATTACAAATGAATGAAGTCTGGCCAGTCTGTGAGGTATAGAGAGCCTAACTATATTACATAGGAGTGAAGTCTGGCCAGTCTGTGAGGTATAGAGAGCCTAACTATATTACATAGGAGTGAAGTCTGGCCAGTCTGTGAGGTATAGAGAGCCTAACTATATTACATAGGAGTGAAGTCTGGCCAGTCTGTGAGGTATAGAGAGCCTAACTATATTACATAGGAGTGAAGTCTGGCCAGTCTGTGAGGTATAGAGAGCCTAACTATATTACATAGGAGTGAAGTCTGGCCAGTCTGTGAGGTATAGAGAGCCTAACTATATTACATAGGAGTGAAGTCTGGCCAGTCTGTGAGGTATAGAGAGCCTAACTACATTAACATAGGAGTGAAGTCTGGCCAGTCTGTGAGGTATAGAGAGCCTAACTACATTAACATAGGAGTGAAGTCTGGCCAGTCTGTGAGGTATAGAGAGCCTAACTACATTAACATAGGAGTGAAGTCTAGCCAGTCTGTGAGGTATAGAGAGCCTAACTACATTAACATAGGAGTGAAGTCTAGCCAGTCTGTGAGGTATAGAAAGCCTAACTATATTACAAATGAGTGAAGTCTGGCCAGTCTGTGAGGTATAGAGAACCTAACTATATTACATAGGAGTGAAGTCTGGCCAGTCTGTGAGGTATAGAGAGCCTAACTATATTACATAGGAGTGAAGTCTGGCCAGTCTGTGGGGTATAGAGAGCCTAACTATATTACATAGGAGTGAAGTCTGGCCAGTCTGTGGGGTCTAGAAAGCCTAACTACATGAGATGGGAGTGAAGTCTGGCCAATCTATGAGGTCTAGAGAGACGATGTAGTCATGGAAACAATGGGTTTAGATACTTTGGGATGTCTCTGCATTGGAGGACTGAGCGCGCAATAGAATGCTTATTGTGCGCTGATGCTGATTATGAGAAAACAACACATTTTTTATGTATGTTTTCCTTTTCTGTTCTTAAGGTTATTACTTATCATGTACATCTATCAATATGCTGGTAATATAGTTTTGATTGCTAAAAATAAAACACAGCTGCAAGAAACAATAGACATAATTGTAACAGAAAGTCAAAACAAAGGTTTGAACAGCAGAAAAACAAAAGTAATGGTAATTACAAAGAAAATGGACCCTTCAACATGCAGCAACAAGGTAAAGGGGACAAACCTCAAGCAAGTTGATATGTTTAAGTAGGTACCCTGATAACATCAGATGGAAGATGAATTAGGGAAGTAAAATATGGAATAGCTCAAGCAAAGGCATTTGTCAGTTGAGATAAGAAAGAAATTCTCTAGAGCTATATTAATCCTGTTCTGATATATGGAAGTGAATCATGGACAGTTGGTCAATTAGTGAACAATTGTTTGGAAGTGGCGGAGATGTGGTTTTTATAGATGAATGATAAGAATACCCTGGTTAGATAAAAAGAGTAATAAAGATGTCTTGAAAGAAACTAATTCATGGAGAGAACTGATTGCTCACATCAGAAGTAGACAATCTACATTCTTTGGTCATGTGATGAGAAGGAGAAAACTGGAATACATCGTGACGGTGGGGAAGTTTAAGGGAAAAAGAGGCAGATGGAGACCAAGAGAACAGATGTTGTACAGTCTGACATCATGGCATGGAAGATCATCTGTGTCAGAACTGATTGAACGTACACAAGACAGAAGGTTTTGGTCAGACATGACTATCAATGCCACACGGCTTTATGTCCATAATGGAATTTAAATATAATTAAGAAAGAGACAAGCAGTGTTCAAATGAGAAGAGAGGCCATGGAGAACATCACAATGACTGGACAGATCAGCAGATGAGGCAGACACACTGAGAGACATGATGCTGGATGTTCTAAATTAGTGACTGGACAGATCAGCAGATGAGGCAGACACACTGAGAGACATGATGATGGGTGTTCTAGGATAGTGACTGGACAGATCAGCAAATGAGGCAGTTACTGAGAGACATGATGCTGGATGTTCTAGGATAGTGACTGGACAGATCAGCAGATGAGGCAGACACACTGAGAGACATGATGCTGGATGTTCTAAGATAGTCTAGGATAGTGACTGGACAGATCAGCAGATGAGGCAGACACACTGAGAGACATGATGCTGGATGTTCTAGGATAGTGACTGGACAGATCAGCAGATGAGGCAGACACACTGAGAGACATGATGCTGGATGTTCTAAGATAGTCTAGGATAGTGACTGGACAGATCAGCAGATGAGGCAGACACACTGAGAGACATGATGCTGGATGTTCTAGGATAGTGACTGGATAGATCAGTAGATGAGGCAGACACACTGAGAGACATGATGCTGGATGTTCTAGGATAGTGACTGGACAGATCAGCAGATGAGGCAGACACGCTGAGAGACATGATGCTGGGTGTTCTAGGATAGTGACTGGACAGATCAGCAGATGAGGCAGACATGCTGAGAGACATGATGCTGGGTGTTCTAGGGTAGTGACTGGACAGATCAGCAGATGAGGCAGACACACTGAGAGACATGATGCTGGGTGTTCTAGGATAGTGACTGGACAGATCAGCAGATGAGGCAGACACACT